GTACCTCTGGTGCAAATTACTGACCTCTGTCATCATTTTAAGTGGGGGAACTTGCACAATCGGTGGCTGACTAAATACTTTTTTGCCCCACTGTAGGTTTGTGGTGTTTAAATGATGCTCTGTTGGTACTAAGGGGTCCAAAGAGTTCCATGAAAATATCCCACATTACAGCACATCGTCACTTAAATCATCCTTCCCCATTCTGATGCTCAGTTTGAACTTCAGGAGATCGTCATAATGATGTATTTAATCTAAGATTACGTTTATTCTGATTGGTGATAATATCAGATCCTCCAATTCAGATAGACCTCCCTTCCATTGAAGCACCTATCACAAAGCACAGAGTCACGTTAAGCTTATTGGATCCTAAACCAGCCACAACAACAAAAACATCGATAACATCCTCTTGGTTACAAATGTGGTAACGGCCACAGAAAGGAGTGTGGGGCAGTCTTCCTGATCATACACAGAAAATATCTCCATGAAGTCAATTTGCAGAGCGGCATGAAGAATGCTGATTTATAGAGGTTCTAAACATTTAATGATTTAACATGTGAAGGTTTCTCCTGTACTACACTGGTATCATCGGTTTCTGTTGTATACACATACATTAAATATATATTTTATATTTCAGTATTTTTAATTGTGCTAAAGACATTTCTGACTTCTTTCCCCTTGAAGCTCTGGTTTTTCTCTTTCCACAAGAGTGCAGGACTTTATATTGCAGAGAGAAACGAACCCACAGTGACTGAAACTCTCAGAAGAAACTGCTCCAGGATCAGCCAAACAAAGACAAGAGTACACAGCCTTCCTAGCTGGCCTCACGCTGGGCCTCCATCTCTAAATGCAGCTCTAACCCTGCTTACAGCCACCGTGCTTAGAGATCATATCGGCGCACATAAACGCACACAAACACACACACGCACGCACAGCAGGATTAGCAAATCCATCTCGTGACATAACGTAATCCGCCTGCCAAAAATAACAGCTCTGAACTGTGCCCGACCCCTGCAGGAGGCGCAGGGTGATGCCTGCTCGCTCAGCCTGTCCTCCCGTCACAAAGCGGCCGTCTGATTCGGCAGCGCTGTCAAAACGTCGACGCTCGGACGCCGACCCGCCGCTGCCGCCCTCTGAGAGCAGGGAAGTGAAGAAAGGCGTGAGGGAGGGGGTAGGTGCCGACAGGACTGCACCAGCTGCATTGTGGGACCCTGAGGGTGTTTGTCGGGAGGTTGTGGAAAGTTGTTCCTCTACAGGAAGTCTGCAGGTTTCACAAAGTCAGATTTAAAGGGAGAGACAGACGGGCCTGCCAGACACTTCAGCTGCAAACTGATGAGCGCAAGGACACCAGAACCATCACTGGTTGGTGAAGCATTAATCACCGGTACCTGAATGTGCTTTAACCTCATGTTATACCAAATTCAGGGATAAGTACATCCTTTTCATTCATTTTATTTATATACTGTAAATAAATAAATAAATACTGTACTCCTAATTGATTAATTTATTCCTTTGATCGCTTGTCTCTTTAACTTATATTAAATTACCCATAATAGCACATAACCCCCAGTTTTGTCTAATTTCCTGCTTTACAGTGAAGGACTGTGAACTTAACTAACCTGCATGAAAGATGCTATACAAATAAAGTTTGATTAATTTGCTGGCAGTCTTAAATTAAAGATGTCTGAGGTCTCAAATCATTTCCATTCATTTTATTATTGAAGCAGGGTTGAATTTACTCACGTTAGACATGTTTGTTGACAAAATGACCAAGAATGACAGGAAAACGTACAAATTTCTGTTCTGATTTCCATCTGTAGCCGTTTTGTCTGCCAGCCTCTCTACTAATAGATTATTTGGATTTAGTTGTGACCCGGCCTTGACCCCAAAGGATGAGCTTTATTACTCACAAGGCTGCTGGCCTTAAAGGTGAGGGTCAGGCTGGTATCAGTAGGCGGAGAACCCAATGGAAGTTTACAAAAAAAAACATTAAGAAGAAAGAAAGATGTTTTTCCTGTGAAATAAAAATGAGTGGGTTGTCTGCCCAGGGCTTGGTGACGTCTGAGGACACTTTTGGACACATGCTGCAGGTAGTTCGGCCTGTGCTTTAGCATACCTGATGGAAATATAAGTGCAGCAGCAGAGGTGGGGAGGAGGGCTGTTTGAATTTTATTTTGGTTATAAAACACACTTATGTGGTTTTAGAATACGACGTGTTGTCAATAAACATTCTGCATCGACAAGTTTTTATTATCCGTTTCATCGATTATGGCAACGAATCGTAGCAGCCCCGATGTTCAGTTAATTCAGAGTGTCATTATCAAGAAGAAAATGGCAATTGGTGCATAGTTCCACTAAGATCGGCAGCGCGACTCCCTCACAGGACAGTTGACAGATTTGGAATGATTTTAGCTGAATACAGCATGAAAGGTGGAGATGGGCAGAGGTGGGTTTGCCAAGTAGCTTGCAGGGGTCGTGGCAGCAGCAAATGAAAGCAGACTAAAGCCGAGTTAAAAGGTCAGCAGATCTGGCCCAGCTGTGGTCAGTCTTCATATCCTACTCGATCTCATGCTTCGCTCAATTTTTTTTTCCCACATTCATTACTGTGCAGAGCCACTACACTTAACGCTGATATCATCAGCATTGCTGCATTTACATTCACCATTTAACCCACATTATGAGGCTGTCTGGACTTTACATGTAAGCTAGTTTAATGTCTCATTTCCATTCCTATAAAAAGGAGTCTGAATCATGTTCTTAGGGATGCATTGATCTTATATTGTTCTATAATATATCAGTTACTAAGCTCAGTGGATATTCAGAACCATGAATACATACTGATGTGAAATCTTTTGCAATATTTCCACTTCATTACAAATAAATGATTCACATATTCACTTAAATATTTTTCCTGATGCTTCATTTAGTGCAGGTGAGCACCACACAAAGCCCAGACATGCCTCCCTCAAACCTGTATTCACTTTTTAATCATCATTCCAGCCCTGAACACCTGGAAGGAAGCTCAGTTGATGGTAGCCCTCCATAATTTCTTACATCACACCCTTTGTGCAAGGTCAGGCTTTCAAAATAAAAGCCCGGATGTCCTCAGACGGTAGAAATAACTTGTATGTGCTTCTTATTGTTTGCTTAAGGTATATTTTTTATTTATGAGCCATTCTATAGAAACAAAGTTGATAGGAATAACTTTAGAAATAACCTCCCAAACAAGTACTGAGGTACGAAGTTGATAAGTTGGGATTTTAATATAAAACCAATCAAACCAAGCCGTGAGCACCTCACAATCAGTTAATATGTGTGTATTATAACTTTAATCTTTTTCACGAAATATTTTACCTCAATAGTATGACTACTTATAAATTCATAGGCCCTCGAAACACTTAGGGGTATTCTATCAGAGATTAGCTGATTAGTTGATATAACGGAATATATTCACAGCTTTGATAGCAAAACTGCACTGATATAATATCTGTGACATGGAGAGAACAGAAAAAAGGACTGGTATCCTGGATGTTTGATCTGTTTTCTGATTTTTCACTGGAGAAAACTTCAAAAAGTGTATTTTGGGTGAACTTCAAAGGGTCAAATATCACCATGGGAGACAGGTGGCTGCTCAAAACAAGTTACAGTATATGAAAGGACTCCTTTTCTTATCTACATTTTGATACCAGGTTCATTCTCTAGCCAAAATTCCTTCTGGGGCAAAAGACATTTCTAATATAGTCAAATATTATACATAAAGAATGGAGAAACACACTAACAGGGCTATTGTAAGGTTTTGGTTGGCCTGAGTGTTTCCAATGCTCCACTGACTCAGACGTAGAGATCAGCTGGTGACCACTACCACAGGTTGCTAAAAAAATAACAAATTACTCAGTACGCTCGTATGTTTGTGCTCGACTATGAGACCAGTCAATGATCCCCAGTAACAACCATTTGCTAGAGATTCCCTGACAAATTGGTGAGTTGTTTGCTGGAGTCTGCTTGTCGCCATTTGGTCCCTTGTTTTTTCTCCAAGTTTATTTATGCAGCATCTTTCAGACACAATTTTACTTGGTCTTGGTGCTGCTCCACTAACCACCTTGCGATTGCAGCAGGTGGTCACCTGTTGTTTGCACAGAAGATGGCGACTTGTCTGCAAACACTCGCCAACTGCTTGCAGAGTGGTGGTGAAGCTGGGATCTTCTGACCTCAAAGTAAAAGTTGCACCATTTGAAACAATAAGTAGTAAGGCACAACTTTTATGTGTGCTGTTTCCATTGCACTTTTTTATTTTGAAGTTTCATTATTGCTCAGCAAGAAGTTGGAGACAAATTGGCGATCTTTCATGCAAACTATAGGCGATCATAGCGATCTGCTATTAGCCAAAGGAAGCAAAAGATTGCAAAGAGGATGATTCACTAAAGCAATCGATTTCATGGTAATGATTACCAACAAACTCCAGCAACCACTCGGCAACTGGTGGAGCAATACACATTTTACCTCAGTGACCAGAGGTTGCCAGGGAGTCACAGTCTGATCTCTACGCCTGTGTGACTGCCTCGCATTCAGTGACATTTTAAAAAAAGTTCCAAGTCGAATTTAATTGAAATGACAGTTAAAACTCTTAATATGATTTTTCACTCCAAAAAGACCCAGCCAATTTCTACCATTCCACTTAATTTTACTCCATATTTTCCTCCTGGTCCCACAGTGTGAGAAACACTGAACATCCCCTATTTATGTTGTTTTAGTGTTTTAGTGTTCACATCACTACACTCAAAGCAAAAAAGCAAAGTCAAGTGGCGCCTTACCAGAGAGCACCTGACTGATGAACCAAAGAGGCATCTCAAGCGCAATATGGATAATGGATATTAAGACATCATTACTAGTAATGAGAAGTATTGATGTCCGCATCAGGGCTCGCAAAATCGCTAGCCCGACGTCCCGGGGCTAGCGAGTTTTCCAGTCGGGCTACCAAAATCCATCTCAGCCCTGCCCGTCGGGCTGTCAGAGGAAGGAAAGATATGTCAATGCTTTTGCATTCTTTCTGAAATGTAGCTGGGTAATTATGTCATCAGCATCAGTGAGCCACTGTCAATATGTGACACATTGAAATCGCATTTGAATTTGCGCTTGTTTTTTGCTTTCACTTTGCGATCGCTTTAACTGTGTATAGAGAGCAGCAGCACTGATTGGTAAGTCACAGATTAATTGCACACCAATTCCTCTGACATCGTCTTATTAATCGTTAGCTTACTATCACACATGACAAGTGAAATCTCCTGCAGCAAGCTTAAACATGTGATAGAGGTTGATTGCACAAAACGAAAAAGTTATGACAAATCAGACTATGAGGCAAAAAGAAAGCGCAGCTTTTTTGGTTTCATGGACAAAAGAATTTCTGTGGCTGGAATATGACGAGCTAAATAACATAATGTTCTGCCGGGTGTGTTGTGAGTTTCCCTGAATTTCTGAGTCGACAAGCGCCTTTGTTACTGGGACCAGTCATTTTAAGAAAGACCCCATCAGAACCCATGAGAAATGCAAGAAATGCATTATTGCTCAGTCTGCAATATCTTTCCCAGAACAAACACCAATTGCAAAAAACATACTAAAAATCAACCAAGCATAACAAGAAGTCCTGAAAAATCTGTTTAGAACAGCGCACTATGTTGCAAAGAGTGAACTACCATTGGCAAGATTTAGCAGTATTTGCAAACTTCAAATGTCCTAGATCTTGGTTCCACTTGCCTCTTACTGAACACTGATTCATGTTCTACACAGTTATTGCAAGTTCATAGAAATTTCTGTTCAATTAGAACCAAATATTTGAGTTGATGATTGTAATTTGTTGTTCTAATTTGTGTTTTAAATATTTTTAGATTGATGTTTTGTTTCCTTTACAATATTATACATTAAAGTATAATATTGTAAAGGAAACAAAACGTCAATCAAAAAATTGTCCTCTTCTTTTTTTTATTCGGACTACTTAAATTTATTTTGGGCTACCAAAAATGGAAGAGTGCCTGCCCGAAGGGCTACCAGGGATTTTGAAATTTTGCGAGCCCTGCGCATGTTGTATATAATAGTTTGGACCTATTGCAGGGATCAAGTCCTAAATACGTTTTTCATAAACCTAAAAAAAAAAATCTCAGGATCAAAGCAAGATCTGAGTGTACACCAGCAGATGAGGACAATGCACTAAACAAAGCAACTGGATGCTCCCCTCTAAAGTTCAGTGAAGTGAGTAAAAGCAACAAGCACTGAAAAGAGCTCTGGCTGATGCTCAGTGTCAAATATGGACCAACCCTTGTGCAGTTCGAGTGCCTGTAGCTCAGAAAAGATTAATAGCATATAGCATGAATTTACAACTTTCCAGGAACTCATTAAACATATATTAAAGCATTAAGCTCAAGCCTAGCAAACAAACTGCAGCTCTGACTAAAAGAAAGCGTTTGCACCCGCTGAGAAGTTGTCATTTTCAGTGAGCGTGCTGGACTGTACATACTGTAGGCGGTCGAATGGTGCGGGTCGCTCTGCGGGGGTGCTTCAGGGGCGTACAGGAACCTCTCGTTGCACATGTTGCCTTCACAGCAGCAGAAGAAAACATCGGGACTCTCCTTCCTCTCCACACACTCGTTACTGCAGAGGACACAGAGGTGGAAATCAGAAACACTCAATCCTCTCCATGCACTGCAAAAGGACATGGGAGCTATTTTGAACATGCACTCACTCCAGGAGACGTTACGTGAAAAAAAAAAGAAAAAAGGAAAACACACACAACAAACAAACACTGCTTTCCATTCCCTCGCTGCTGCAACAGAGCATATGAAACAAAACATTTATAAAATAACTCCTACACATGCGAACAGACGCACACATGGACGCCGACAATCGCGCTCGCTCTCTCTTCTCACACTCACGCAGCCATCAGATAAAAGCCAAAGGAAGTGGCAGCCGCCCTCGATTTGCTCTGGACTCTCCAGGGAGGTGAGGCGGCGCCGTCTGAGCAGAGGTACCCCGAACTGTGCGGGCTACACATCCGACAACAACTTTATCGTTCGGGAATCAAAAAGGAAAACAGAACTGGCTCAAACCGGTATCCGCGGCCAGGGTGATGCTTTACTCTGGGACAAACTATAATAATCTCTTATTATCATCATCATCTGTTTACCGTCCTGGATGTGGACGCATAATTCACGCTGTGGTTCAGGCTCCCTCGCGCGTGGTAATTAAAATGCAGCCATTTGGATGTGGAATCTCACACAGGGACACAAATTATGCTCAAGGTGATTTTAAATGTATTTAGAGTTGAGGCTGCTGCTTTTGTCCTGATTCAGAGGCAGTGCAGAAATTAATGGGCAGCTTCTCAGTAACAACCCCTGCCACGATTAAAAGCTCGCCCTCTTAGAGCGCACGCATGTCTGGTTAAAGTTTGATATTTCCCGTATTCTGTTACTTACTGATGGGTATTTAACTACTATTTTATACCATGCAACCTTCTAGTGACAGCAGAAAGTTCCCTTAAAATCATCAGCTGAGATTTCTTATGTTTTTTTAAGGTTAAAGGGAGTCTACTGGATGCGAATCCCAAATGTAAATACACAGAAATGTAATCAAACTACAGTTTATTTACTTTAACTGGACTTCATGAGCTATTCTGCTTGCTATTTATAAAGCCACTTTATTGTATATACTCAGTGTTTTTTATACAGTGTCCTGTATTTTATTTAAATTTTAGACAGGCGAGGGAAGGTTATTAGGAAACCACTGCACTGTTTGAACAATGTAAATCTTAAAGTGGGACTATTCTGCTAACATCCATATTTTTATTCTTGGACCCTATTAGAGTAGCTATGCATGATTTGCAGTTCAAAATAATCCTAATTTGCCCTACATGCCCATCAATGATTCTTGCTGTGTGCTTATACTATGACTATAGCAGGTCATTTAGTCCACAGTACCTACTAAGACACACTCCGCTTTCCCAGTAACATGTTATGCATGTGGTAATCAAAGAAAAATTATAATATAAATAAATAAAAATAATATTTTTGTTTCCTTTTTGCACTGGAAACCTAGAGGACTGTTACTTCAGCCAGACTGTTATCTGAAACCAAAATGGGAAGTTAGATTGTTGTTTTTTTTCCTCAATATTAAACCAAAGTCATGTGACCTACTTCAATTTTATCAGATAAAACAACCCCGAAATTTTACTTTTTCCCCCCTCTTTAATTTCTCATGTTAGACAGATATTAGGCAGGCAAACCGGAAGCTGGAGTTAAGAGCAATGAATATTAAAATAATAACCAAAATAATAAGGAAACAAAGGAGGGAGGCAGGTGGATACACAAGTGTCATAGATAGGTTGATTTGGTGGGTAGGCAGGTGTGATGGTTGAAAAGATAGATAGGTAGCAATGTAAGAAGGTAAGTGGGCGGATAGACAGGTGTAGTGGTAATTACATGTGGTGGTTAGTTGATAGGTAGGAAGCCAGGGTGGCAGTGGGCAGGTAACTATTGGAATAATTGGTTGGTATGCAGAGTGGGTTGGTGGGTAGGGGGTCTGGTCGATTGCCTGGTAGGAGGGTAATTTGTTTGACTGATAGAGTCAATGATTGGGTGGCTAGCTGGTTGGGTAGTTAGGTAGGTAGTGTTGTCGATTGGTTGGTGCGTGGATAGGGAGAGAGAATAATTGGCAGGTTGGATGATGACTGAAGGTTGATTGGTTGTTTGATGTTCAACCTTTCAACTAAAGCCACGTCCAGCCACAATAAATGGCAGTTTAACACACAGCTGACCACACAAAAGCAGTAAAACTCATGTATTTGTTCAGCATATCTTTAAAATGCTTTTTTAACACCCCCCCCCCCCGTAAATGTTTCCTGCTTACCTGTCGTAGCAGTTGACATCATCCAACCAGCATCCCTGCTTGACAATCTCCACGGTCCCGGAGACATTTTTCCATGTGGCGAAACAGTGCCGCCTCTTGTCTTTCTCGCCATAGCAGGGTTCGATGCCGCTGCGGTTAGTCCGCTCCTTCTCCCAGCTGGAGTTGTAGTAGGCGCACTCCTGCGTCTCTGAGCGTCCCAGGATGGCGCCTGGAGAGGACAAAGAGGTTATTCTTTAATTTCTTTCATTTTAATTTGAAGGAGAGCATTGTTGACTCTTGCAGGGGAAGATAAATTACTCTATCAAACATGTTGTCAGGTGAAGTCTCAAACACTCATGAAAGAAGCCTTTGAATAAGGAAATTTACAACCGCTGTGGCTGCGAGGTGTAAGAGTTGCTCTCCTTCCTTGTCACCAACAAAGAAGATAATTTAGCTGTGTATCAATAACTGGTGGAAGGACATTTCTTTACAGCCTCCACATATAAAATGAAGTGAAGTCATAAAACATTTCTCAATAATAAAAATTCACTTCTCTGGTACTTTTCTATGTGGACTCCCAGAATGCCTCAGAATCAATACACCAATGAAAAATAAAAGCTTTAAAAAAATAAAAATAAAAAAGGCAGTTACTGGAGGAACAAAAAAACAAAAGTTCCTGTCCACAAACAAAAGCAGAGCAGGGACGATCGACTTCTCTCCCCGCCAAAATAAAAGGGACTCTGATTTCCTGCAGATGAAGCCTGCAGGCAGCAAACTGATATCCAGGGAAATAACTGCGTGACAGCTTGTCAGTTTAGCATTGCTGCCGCTGCCTCTCATCACCTGTCAGAGACTTAGTCCAGTTTAGACTGCTGACAAGTCTGAGGATAGTCAGCCGCTGTTTGCCTGCTTCCTGGCGCTGCAAGCTAAACAGCCCAGACACACAGGAAACAAAGATTACTTCCCACATTATTTGGTTTGTGCTGCTACAAAGTGAAATAAAGAAATTTTGACTCTTAGTCCTCTAAATCCAGTTTTTAAGCCATGAAATGAAACTGAAAGAGTTTCTGAGCTCCTTTATGCTAAATCTCCTTTTTGTTTTACGCATTTCTGTTGAATTCTACCTTCCACAGCCAGCTTTCTGCTATTTGCTGTCGAGATGTAGCAAAAAAACAAAAATCTTTGCTAGAGTTACCCAACGGCCACTGATTGCAAATATATTTGCTGAGGTGTATATGCCTTATATGCTCTGTTTCCCTGTATCTTTGCATATGTGCTTGCACCCATTTCGTATTTTCCTAGCAAAATATAAAGAAATTAGGGGTGTCAAGCCCTCTATACTGCTGCTTTGTACTACAGTACTTGACGCTGATTGGACAAAGCCAGGTTTCCATGGTACAACATTCGCAAGTCTATTAATCAGGTTGTATGTGTGCGCTTATACACCACTCTGCATTTAATCATTACTCATTATTAAGCTTTAGCTCTCTTCCACAGTGTGTCTTTGTCCTGTCCCCCTCCTCATCCCCAGCCAGTCGTGGCAGATAGCTGCCCCTCCCTGAGCCTGGTTTTGCTGATGGTTTCTTCCTGTTAAAAAGGAGTTTTTCATTCCCACTGTTGCCAGGTGCTTGTTCAAAGGGGGTCATCTGATTGTTGGGGTTTTCTCTGTGTTATTGGAGGGTCTCCACCTTAAAATGTAAAGCACCTTGAGGCAATCAGTGTTGCCTCAATCAATTGGTAATCTTGTAAGCTTTTATATATAGGATTCATATTGATGAAAATCTTTGTCAGACCACAATACAACAGATAAATACAATTTCAAAAACATGGAAATGGTGTGCGCTGTCAAAAGGCTCTGAGCTACCTCAGTCTGTTTATATAAGTCAATTAAAGCTATTAAAATGAGGCACTGGTATCCAACTCTGGAGTCAACATTCAGCAGATATACAAATGATATGTGGCTTCTTTTTTGTTGCTGCTAAATGTGCAATTAGTAAGATTTGTGGCCTTTCGGATGAAGAGTGAGAAAAGCCACTAAAGTAGAGGCTGTTAGCTGGACATTTTTTAACAAACAGGATTTGTTATTTATCTCTTTATACCTGTTTAATTCACTCTTAATTGTCTGTTTTTTGTTTTTGTTAAATTGTTCCACCCTTGCAGGATTTGCGCTCTTGACCTAATTGCCTTTTGTTTATTGCTGCTTTTAATGTCTCAAAAGCACACTGTAATTTAAGAAAAAAGAGGACAAATAGAAAATAATGTTCCAATTTATGGGATCATTATCCGCTCTCCTCTGCCAGTGAAATCACGTCGCAAAGGAGAAGAGTCCTGACCGTGTCTGCAGTCACAGTAGCTTTCAGAAATTAGAGCTTAGCTTGAGGTTAACTTTAGAAATATCATGTATTTTTCAATAAAATGGCTGCTTAAGTAAAGCCAGTTAATGCCAGCCGGGTCCCCCAGAAGCGTCGCAGGTCTCTTTTCAACGACATTAACAGCTGCAGATGGAAGTGAGAGGAGAATGGCTACTTTACTGGCAGGCGAGGTCACGCTGCCTCTTAGCAGCACCGACAGCATTTTCTCTCTCGTCAAATCCATTTCCCATGAAGCCCCAAACTATTTCACAGCAACAGGTGCAACTGTGAAGTGCTGTCTGGGTGATTGAGAGGAAATGGCTCAAGTAAAGAGGGAGTGAGAGGAGATAAATAGTTGGGGCTGCTGAATGAGCAAAGCTGAAATAATTGGTTCTCAAAAAAAAAAACTAAACAACTGTATTTTTCTATATGGTAGCTAATGTTACCAGCAACTTTTACGGCAAGCAATTTTAATGCATGTCCATGAGTTACATAGAAGTACAATTCAATTCTTTTTGGGAAGGCTTTCCACAAAGACGAGGTTTAGGAGGGTGCTTATGAGAATCTTTGACCGTTCTTCCAGAAGCGCATTTGTGAGGTCAGACATTGTTGGGTGAGAAGTCCTGGCTCACAGTCTCCACTCTAATTCATCTCAAAGGTGTTCTACCTGGTTGAGGTCAGGACTCTGTGCAGGCCAGTCAAGTTCTTCGACACCAAACTCGCTCATCCATGTCTTTATGGACCTTGCTTTGTGCACCACAAAGTTGGGAGCATAAAATTGTCTAAAATGTCTTGGTATGCTGAAGCATTAGTGCATGAGTTGCTTTCACTGAAACTAAGAGGCCGAGCCCAACTGCTGAAAAACAACCCCACACCACAATCCCCCCTCCAACAAACTTTACACTTTGCACAAAGCAGTCAATATCGTTTAGTACCGTTCCCCTGGCAACTGCCAAACCTGAACCCGTCCATTGGAATGTCGGATGGAGAAGTGTGATTGATCACTCCAGAGAATGTGTCTCCACTGCTCTACAGTCCAGTGGCAGCATGCTTTACACCACTGCATCCGATGCGTTGCGCTGTGCTTGGTGATGTAAGGCTGCACCTGCACCTGCCATGAAAACACATTCCACGAAACTCTCTACGCACCAGTTCTAAGCTAATCTGAAGGCTGCATGAATTTGGAGATCTGCAGTGATCGAGTTGGCGACCAGAACACCTGCTGACCCCACTCTGTGATTTTAGGTAGGCTTTGTTATAGTATTGTTGTTGTTATAGCACTAATAGTGGCCTGTGGAACATCTAGTAATGAAGAAATTTCATGACTGGACTTTTTTCACATGTGGTATCCTATCACGGTACCACGCTGCAATTCATTGAGCTTCTGGGAGCTACTGATGTGGATGGATGAGTGAATACTTTTGGCAATACAGTGTAAGTTGGTGTTGGATTATATAAAGCAATTCTCCAGCTGCACAGTCCAACAATAAATGACTTTAAGATACATCAATACGTTTCCATGACTTAGAGGATGTTAGTTTGATGTTGTGTTACATAAGGCATTTATTCTGTAGAGTGGGCTATTGTTTCCATTTATGGCCCCCACTCCACTCCTCATTCATCCATTCACACACTCATTTATACAAGAAACTATATTTTAACCTAACATTCACACACTCACACTCTGACAGATGCATCCCAGGCAACTCGAGGGCCAGTATCTTGCTTAAGGATACTTTGACATACATGGAAATCTAAACACAAGTCTGCTGATTGGTAGATGACTACTGTAACAACAATAACAATGTTTTTAAATTGTTGCAACATCTATCTGTGAGTCTCTGATTCGATGACATGATGGTACAGTTATGTCTTCGGCCTTGCCGTGATGGTGCAAAAGCTGCACAACTGGGAGAAATGGCTTGGGACAGTGCATGTGAAGTCAACTTTGTTGTCCAGTGCCGTTCCTCCGGCACCAGACAGTTAGTATAACAAAGAACTATATCCTTTTTTATTTTGCCTATGGTTGCCTGTCCACCACTATTCATTTAGCGTTGGGTTCACTTTCAAATTAGGCTTTTAAAACTGTTCTAATCATTCCATGGTGCAAGGAAAACAGGCAGCGGTAGACCATCGACTCCTGTGTTCTTAATAGTAAAATTACTACTTTTGTTAGTATAGCCCAGAGAGCAATAAAATGGCTTCAGCTCCCCGTGGAAAAGTAAAACTGAGAAAATGGCCTAAAAACAGCACACACCTGAACTCAGGGCGATTTCTTAAAATTTTTTTTTTTTTTTTTTTTTACTTTCAACCAATGAACCACAGGCGTTTCTGTACAAAACGACTTCAAAGAAACCAAACTATCCCAGCTTACCCAGAGAAACAGTCGTTATTGTAAATGTGTCTTTAGGAGTAAAATTGCTGTTTTTGTCAATGGAGTCTGGTGGCTGCTTCCAACAGCAATTAACACAAACATCAGAATTTAGTTTCCTGCGAACTGCTGCAGCTCTTTTACTGTATCCTGACCTCAGTTTGTTCTCAAAGGTTGCTTTGACAAAAAACAGAACATTCAGAGAAAATGCCAAGATGTACACTGCGTACTGCCTTTCAGCCTTAACCCCAAAAAAAACCCCAAAAAAACCCCACAAGCACAGGAAAAATAAGTATGCACTATGCTAATGTGTAATGATGCAAAGGAAAAAAAGTACAGTGGAATAAAGTCACGGATATGTGACTGTACAGGGGGGAAAAGGAATTTGCCCTAACGTGCATTATAGCAGAAATAACGCCACGGGGAAGATTACCTCATCTGACGTGTGGTTTATGTGGTCTTCATTTTCCCTCCCAACCCTCCAACTCCTCCCACAAATAAACACAT